CAGCTGCCTTGTGAAAGGCCAGAGTGGGTATGCTTTGTTAGCAGTGGGAGTAAGAAGGATGGTGAATATCAGCTGGGGTGGCAAAGCTCAGGACCCTAGCAGGGGCCCTGAGGGGCAAGGATGAGCCACACTGCTGGGCCAAGCTTTGTGCTGTGAAGGGCTTTGCTGTGTGCTAGGGATCATGGTGTAATGGAATGTGGATGACCTTGGGGGTAGTCAGACAAGAGAGGCAGGAGCTCCTAATGGATTAACAGTCAGAGGAAGAAAACTTAGGAAGGACCTGTCCTAATGGACCAAAAACAGTTAAAAGTGGCAGTGGAAAGTTTGTTCTTTCAGATTTGCAAAAATCTATTAATGTGGTGTTACAGTAAAAATTAGCTGATCTAGTTGGGGTTCCTTTCTGATTTACTTGGGAGAATGACATAGGGGTTTTTAGCAGGCCCAGAGTTGTGCTGTGCCAAGAAGCCTCTCTATGTTGTGCTGCTAGGCTGGGTTGGAGCTGGCTTCATGTTGTAAAGAACTTTGCGCGATGGCTCAGGGGTTTGTTGCAGCTCCAGACCTTTGGTGTATCAAGACGTCTCTGAGCAGCAGCATGGCAAGCAGCCTAGAGCAGTGTATGCCATATAGGATGTGGGCAAGGGTTTAACATCAAAGAGTTTTAATGCTGCCAATATTCTCCACCTTAGTAAACAAAAAAACCAACCCTTGATATCAGTGAATATTCTTCAAGCCAACTGTGATAAATTCAAAGCAACTGTATCTTTTTCCAGATTCACATAGCTACCCTCTATGATCTAAGGAAAAGATAATGTTTGGCATTTGAATCTGAAATATTGCATAGCCTTAAAATTACATGCAGAGCCAGTTTGATGTAGTGGTTAAGCCATCAGATTAGAAACCAGGAGATCATGAATTCTAATCTTTCTTTAGGCATAAAACCAGCTGGGTGACCTTGAGGCAGTCACTCATCCTCAGCCCTAGGAAGGAGGCAATGGCAAATCATTTGCAAAAAAAAAACCTTGGCTAAGAAAACTGCAGAGACTAATATATATGTATGTGTGTGTATACACACACACATTCAGACTCACATATAGTAAGGGAATTACCTATAAATATGTATTGGGTGAAATGTCTAGGGCATTAACAAGATAAGGAAAGTGTGCATAGCAAAGGATTATTTTTTATTTCAACTGTTTTGGGCAAAGTATTGTCCTAAATCAGAGGTCTTCAAACTTGGCAAGTTTAAGACTTGTGGACTTCAACTCCCAGAATTCCTCCTCTAGTCATGTTAGCTTAGGGATTCTGGGAGTTGAAGTCCACAAGTCTTAAACTAGCCAAGTTTGAAGACACTTGTCCTAAATTCAGGGCGTCCTCTTTTCAAATAACAATGATATTTAACTTATATGCTGCCTGGTAATTTCTTATGACTATTCTACGGAAGCTGCCATATTCACTTCAAAATAATAACTCTATTTTTCAAGCATTTCTGATTAAATTCTCTGGAAAAAGTATTTCTCAGCAACAAAATGAAGTAGGAAAAAATATAACAAAACATATAACAAAAGGACTGCCAAACACTTTCCATGTGTTTGAAGTTATATTGTACAGAACTTAATTTAACATGAGTCTTTAATGTTATTACATAATAAATATTCTCTTGTCGTCTTCTACACATAACTTAAAACTTGATTATCCTTTGGTGAAATTCCTGGGATATAATCCAAGAGTGGTTTTGAGAAGAAGACTCAAAGGCACATGGCAAGCTGAATGAGAAAAGAAAGTAGAAGGGAGTTCTGTTGGTCAAACAGACATATTTTCACATCAGATCTACCCCAAATTTTCCTATGGAGCTACTAGGATACTAAATACATTATATTCTATCATTATTTTCTGAAATTCTAGAATAGATTTAGGAGTACTATCCTGTAAATAAACTGGAGCTCACATATTTATTTAATTAGCATGCTTTGCAAAAGCATGTCAATCTTTAATAAACCAAATATAGCTTTATAAAAGGCAGTGATTTATAAGTACATATTTGTTTGTTACTCTATAAATTTATGTCAGTAGTGCTTTAATGGGGTAGGAGCTAAAATAAAGTCACAAAATATCAACTTCTGTAACTCCCTTGCAAAATAACAACATAGGGGAGGATTCATATGACAGTGAATAAGCATGCCCATTAATGCAAAATTTTAAAAGGTCTATTAAAAATGGAAAATAGGAAGTGAGAGTGAAATGAAATATTCAGGAGAGAATGAAGTTGGCTGAAATCCTGAAAAGAAGGATTCTTGTACTTTATTAGCATACACTGCCACATTTTATTCTGGATACACTGTTGGTCAGGTATTTGTATACATTTTTCCAATCCTCATTAATATTCTTTTTTAAAGCTGTCTCCTTAAACTTTGAGGTTTAAATAAGTGATGAACTGTTGGCAACATATTGGTCCCCTGTAGATATCTTAATCTCCATAATGATCAGAGGAAAATGAAATTCTGGGCTGATAAGAGTTTCATCAGTGTATGAATATTGTGAAACTTAGGGGAATGCATTATGTAGTATTTTTTTTAAATATGAATGTTCATTAAAGTGCATTTTTCTATAAGTTGTAGATTGCTTTTCCTGCATCTGCTTCATGTCTTTCAATTAAAAGTATACTTCTACTTTTTATCCTCATGCTTATGACAGCTCATGTTAATTTTCCCCCCCTCAGATTGACTATGGATGGTATGTGTTAATCTAAAAAATCTGGAAAGCAACAAGTAGTGGAAATCTATAGTTATCTCATGATTACTTGGAGAATATTTTGATTTTTTTTTAAGCTGCTAGGTGCAGGGATATAATTTTACCTAGTCATGTACTACTCTTATCTAATCAAACATCTATTTCAGGGGTCGCCAACCTTTTGGACCTCAGGGACCACCACACTCATAATTTTAAATCCCAGGGACCACTAACCGGTTCTGTGGGCATGGCCTAATTTGTGAGTGTGACTTGGTGATCATGTGACTAGCTGGGCATGGCTTGTATGTAAATATTATAAATATTTATATAAATATTGAATTTTTGATAAAAAAAGAGCAACTTTTACCCAAAATCAAGCAAAGCAGGTAGGCAGATTGAGTTGCTCACAGAATGACAGATTCATTCAGAAATGTATCGATCTGCCATTGGCTAGCTCAGTCTGTCACATAAAATTTGCTTGCAAGCAAACTCATAAAATTTGCTAGGAAGCAAATTCACAAAATTAACTCACAACACACCATGTATGTAAATATCGAATTTTTTATTTAAAAAAGAGCAACTTTTACCCAAAATCAGGCAAAGCAGGCAGGCAGATTGAGTTGCTCACAGAATCATTCAGTGATCTATCTATCTGCTATCGGCTAGCTCAGTCTCGCAAATTTGCTTGCCGTGAGTCTGCACTGAATAATAGAAGCTTCAGTCCTTAGGGAGGTTTGGCTGTGCTTAAAAGCAGAGCCGAAGATCTAAAGACTAGCTAGAAAGCAAGAAAGCCAACCATTTTCTGCTTCCTAGCTTATCTAAATCTCCTGGCACAGCAAAACAGATTATGGTCAGAAAAAGGAAAAATAGCAATTTAGCAGGCAAGTTTGCCAGGTAAGGAGTGAATGGGTGGGGAGGGTTCCTGTGGGCAATGTGGGCGGCCGAGCCTTGTGTTTCTGCACAGCCTGGATTAATTGCTTTGGGGGGGGGTGCTCTGGGGGTGATATTTCTCTGTGGCCCACCAAAATTTTCTCACGGCCCATCACTGGACCACAGCCCACTGGTTGGCAACCACTGATCTATTTGATTTAATACCGTAAATAATAAAAACCCATTTCTACAACTTTCTTGTACCTTCACACATTAATTAATGTACTTTTCCCATTGAAATGTGTTCAATTCTCAGAGAATTGCCTTGACAAGTCCCTGCAATTTTTTGACAAAATGTTTCCAAAATGGCTTGCCCTTGCCTTCTGAGAGGTCTGAGGGATTGTGACTCTAGCCCAAAGTCACCCAGCTGGCTTTGTGCCTAAGACAGATCTAGAAATCACAGTCTCCCAATTCTTAACGACTAGACCAAGCTTCCTCTCAATATATTAATAGTATGATGTGATGTATGTTTCCTCTGAATTATCTCTGTATACTCAGTTGGGTTCATTGTTAAGTAAGTTTCACATATTTGCAGCTTTAAATTATATGAATCAAGTCTAGATCTGTTCTGAAGTCATGCTACATATGTGAACAGTTGTTCAGATAAAATTGAACTGTGTCCTTGTACTAATCATAAATTTAATTGGTGCTCAAGCCAATTTGCTAGATATTCTTAGAAGAATATTTAGATAGTTTAAAGTTTCTTTACTTTTCTGATATTTATTGTGCTAAAGAAATGTTGAACTTCATCAATAAATATTTTCTGTTGGATATCTGTTTCTCGTGCTGTACTGATTTTCCATATGACATATTTTGTTATTTGTGAAGGACAGCCTACCTGTTCCAGTCTTGTTCAGAAATAATAGTTCTCTGGATGATAACCAGCATGATATTTATTTATTTACTTACTCATCTCTACTAGGCTTATATGCTATTTGAGTCATTACCAATTCTTAGCAGCTTATGTATCCTTAACCTACCTTTGTAGGTAAGATTAGAACAAAATATAGTTAAGAATAAAATGTAAGCTACTGTTGACTTGCAACACAAAATGCAAAGCAAATAATACACATTATGATTATGCTGTTTAAAGGCATAAATAATAGGCTTGGCCATTCAGATTGGGCAATGTCTTATACTATATAGATAACAACTTTAAGGACTATTCAAATACTTTATGAAACGGTTAAAGATTTTTCTTTTTCTTTAGAAGAGGCTACAGAAAGAACTGCTAGCTTTGCAGAATGACCCGCCACCAGGAATGATCTTGAATGAAAAGAGTGTACAAAATTCAATTACACAGTAAGTATATGTATTTTTATTACAGTTGTGAAAGATATGATTTGTAGGAAAATGCAAACATATTTGCCATTATGATATCACTAAATGCTTAGTTTGATCCACTTATTCTGTTTACATTGCTATCGTTGCTTGGATATAAATAAGATGCATGTTTAAAAAGGATACCTTTTTACCATGAGTTACCGTGTGGCAAAATGGATAGCTAAATTTTACAAATAAAAAAATACTTTCTATTTATTTCAAGGTATGGAGAGTGCTGTGATATTTTATCACAGTTTTAAACAATCTAGGTTTGTGATATTAGGGCATGAAATACTGCTTTGTAACATACATAGGCAATATGATACATATGGCAATAAATGGCAATCCTTAAATTCTACTTATGAATTTATTTATATCTATATGCATATTCTGTGTGGGTGAGATCTTTTTTGTTTTGGGGAATTGGGAATAAATTTTGTTTGCCCCTTGTCATGAATAGATTATTTTAAAGTTCTACCCATTCTCTACTACAGGATGGCAGGACCGATTCATAAGGGGGCCTATACGGTGGTTATGGATGAAGGAATTGTTTCCCAATTGTCATTTTTGCATATTATTATGATAGCTTGTTTTTATTGTGTTTTTAATTCTGTTAGCTGCCTAGAATTGCTGATTGCAAGATGGGTGGCCATATAAATTTATTTAAGGAAATAAATAAAAATTTGGTCCAGCAAGTGCCAGATGAACACAATTGAGTTTCACAAGGTACTAGCTAGAATTCTGATGATCAGCTGCTGAGGCCTTAATCACCACTTGAATAAGGAGCTGGTGATTATGCCTGCCTCTTGATATGCTTATGTACATTTCTATTTTGTGAGCTGCAAGGTTTTGTGTTCTCCCATAAAGGCCCTCAGATGGAACAGCATACTCTTGAGACTTGTGTACCCCAACCTTACCTGCCTTTCAAAAGACATTAAAGGCCGTTTTCTCCCCTCAGACATTGGCTCTAGAAATGGTATTACCCATTAGTTGTTTTTTTCCCCTTGGCACTTATGTGTGTATATGTTGTTGTTTTATACTTTTATTGTGTATATATTTATATATTTTGTAATTTTATTTATATCACTAAATATTTCACTATTGACTACGTTGGCTGAGTTTATTGAGATTTTTATTTCAGTAGTAGCTGGTGAATCAGCCACATATTGTTCTGTACCATTTTGGTAAAAGGAGGATGGTTGAGGAATGTATGACTTTAAAGAAAGTGATATGCTCTATAATAATACTTGTAAGAAGTAAGTTGAAGGAGACTACTGCATGCAACGTAAGAGTGAGATAAGCAATATTTTAATTCAAATTCCTGTCAGCATCAATACATGTGCTCTATGTAAGGGATTGTGGAAATTTAATTCCAGATAATCTGCACCAGATTGCTTGTTCCTAGAGACAAGTAAAATTCTTCAATTAAAGTGGGTAAATATGTTCCAGGAAAATATTACGAGTTGGCTTCTGCTAGCTTTAGAATTGTTTCATTACTAGAACCACATTCTTCACAAGGAGGTTTTTTTTTTCTTTCTTCCTAGCATTTTCCTGTAAGTTTCCTTTCCTCCCCAGATCAACTAAGTGTTGATCCATTGGTTATGACAGGAATTGAGTGACCAGCTTGTTGCTTGAGCCTGATGTTGTGGGTTGACAGACAGTGACTGCCACAAAGTCATCTAGCTGGTTTTCATGCCTAAGGTGGATTAGAACTCACAATCTCCTGGTTTTGTAGCTTGTTGCCTTAACCACGAAATCAGGCATGTCCAACCTGTTGCCTGCAGGCTACATGCAGCCCTGGACAGCTAGTAATATGCAGCCCCACAAGATATAATAAAAATAATTAAAAGTTAAATATATTAACTGTATTATATATTTTATGTTGCTCCAAACAATTCTTTGTTCAATGTGCCCCGGGCAAGCCAAAAGTTTGGACAACCATGCACTAGATCAAATTGACTCACTCCTTAAAAGAATTTCTGCTCCAGAAATATCAGCTAATCATAAACCTCTTCCTTCTCTAAGGCAGCAAACAACAATGTACAAATAAGCAAGTAACAAGCAGTGGATAACTTTAATAAAGGCTGTAAAAAGTTTTAATCTTTTTAGTTTGATTTGTTATTACGGTATGCAGTATTTGCATTTATTAAAAAATAACAGACACATTCAATGCAAACAGGAATTGGGGTTAAAAACTTACTGAATGATCAAGAAGTAGAATTTTATTAGTGACTATTGTGAAGCCCTACTTAGTTGGACACAATCAGGGAAGCAAGAAATATGAGTAAGGTATCTTTCATTCTAGTCTGGAATAAATACAGAATCTTATACACTATACAGGAATGTTCCACCCTCATTTATAATTATTTCATTAAAGCAGAGCCTATGAATGATTTAGAATATTTCTTCACACTTTTTTGCCACCTGGCTGCCATTTTTGGAAATGACTTGCTGGTGGTTTATCTTATTTCTTTTGATTGTCAGTATCTATTTTTCCATTTCTTTCTCAACCTCCTCACAATTTCTAAGAGGAAAGATGATAATTTGAGAATGATTCAAGAGGCAGTTAAGAAAATACCAGTACATAGCTATCCATTGCTCTGTTGTTTGGGAAATGGTAAACCAGCCTAATGATTCAGAGAAAGGGAATTAGAAATTGAAGAATTATCTGCCTGAAGAATTATCTCCAATTGTTAATATTTCTGTAATCTAACTTCATTTTTTCTTCAAAGGAGAATATTTATGGAGAATATTGCTTTTGGTAAAGTACATATAATAACCTTTTAAGAAAAAAAGAGAGCCCATAATTCTAGGATTTTTAAGGTGTTTTTGAAATTGGGGACTAGCAATTTGCAAACAATAACTGACATCAAGTTACTTACAGGAGATCAAATACTATAGTTATATATTTTCATCATTGTAAACCATTTTCTTTCCCAAGGTGGATAGTAGACATGGAAGGGGCTTCTGGAACATTATATGAAGGGGAGAAATTTCAACTGCTATTTAAATTCAGTAGTCGGTATCCATTTGATTCTCCTCAGGTAATTTATCATATGCTCAATTAAATTATAAAATATTTGGTAACATTGAATGTTTATTGAAATTTTGCTGTGATAGCTCTTAAGAAAACAGCAAGAATGGTTTAATCACATATCTGGTACCTGCAGGGATTGAATGAAAAGCATTGTGTCCAATTTTATAAGACATCAAAAGATAATAATAATATATGGTAGAAGCTTTGAGGTTTTTTTTTTAGCAAGTTCTTTTACTTCAGTTGTTAGGAAGCTGCTGTGCTATTGTTTGTAAAGTGGAAACCTGCAGTGAGTACTTGTTGGCAGGCTTCAAGCAATGTGTTGCAGTTGAATTTTTGACTGTTGAATGAGTCCTTCCAACTGACATTCACCACTAAATGTAGATTTTTTAAAAATCTTGATGACTGTATTAACTTTAATATGTGTTCTTGAACCAAGACATATAAAGATGGTGAATTGGGAAGAGTTGATTTGCAGGTGGGGTGTCAAAATGGTGGCCTGCGGGCCAGATGCGTCACACGCAGGCCACGCCCACCCCAGCTCCATGAATGGGAAAATGCTGTGAAACGTCACGTGATACCAATATGATGTGGCGAGTTTGACATCTGTGATTTACAGTATGTGATCAAAAATGAAGTAGCTGAGGAGTTTCATTTCAGAATGGTTGATGAACTAGGACGATTGGCGATTACTAAAAAGGAAATTGCTATCCATCTCACAGGAACATTTATATAAATGTACTGGATTTTAAACTAAATAATGGAAATTAGAGTAACTAGGACATTATTAAACTCTATGACCATAAACTGGGCTCATCTGGAAAAATTGAGTAAGGAAAAAAACCTTGAACCATTTTATTACTAGCTGTTTAATAACAGTACATATACTCTTCAACTTAAAACATGTCATTTAGTGACCATTTGAAGTTATAATGGCACTGAAAAAATGACTTATGACCCTTTTCACACTTAACAACCATTGAAGCATCCTCATGATCATGTGATCAAAATTCAGATGCTTGACAACTGACTCATATTTATAACGGTTGCAATGTCCTATGGTCATGAGATCATCTTTTGTGACCATCTGCCAAGCAAAGTCAGTGGGGAGATCGTGATTGTGCAGTGATTCACTTAACAACTGTGGCAAGAAAGATCATAAAATGGGGCAAAATTCACTTAACATTTGTCACTTAGCAGCATAATTTTTGGGCTCAGTTGTGGTGGTAAGGACAACCTGATTAGGCAATAGCATCTGAAGTAACAGAATGTACATAACAGAATGTAACAGAGAAACAGAATTGGAAGAGATGTTGGAGGCCTTCTAGTCCAGGAGACCCTATGCCATTTCAGGCAAATGGCTGCCCATTGTTGGAGCACCCACAACTTCTGAAGGCAAGCTATTCCACTGATTAATTGTTCTCACTATCAGGAAATTTCTAGGATGGTTCGCTTCTTGATTAATTTCCATTCATTTCTTTTTGGCCTTCAAGTGTTTTGGAGAATAGGTTGACCCACTCTCCCTTGTGACAGACCCTTAAATATTGGAAAACTGCTGTCATTGTCACCCCTAGCCCTTCTTTTCATTAGATTAGACATACTCAGTTCCTACAACCTTTCTTCATATATTATAGTGTCCAGACCCCTAATTATCAAATCATCATCTCTACATGTGTTCTAGAGTCTCAACATCATTTTTATATCATGGTGACAAAAACTGCAATATTTAATGTATGGTCTTACCAAGGCATTATGAAGTAGCATTTCATATTATTCTATCTGTTAATGCAGCCTATGACTGCTGGCTTTTTTGTAGTTCCAGCACACTGCTGGCTCATATTTAAGTGGTTGTCCAATAGAACTCCTAAATCCCTCAGTTATTGCTATTGAGGCAGGCACCACCTATTCTATACCTGTGCAACATACTTAATGATAAAGTTTCATTAAATTCAAGACTGACATACTGTGCTTTATGAAAGATCAAATTTGATTCATATCCTTCTAACATCTGTTATTTTACAGATTATGTCCACGTTTGAATTGAAATGTTTTTATATAAAAATGGAATATTTTACAAATAGCATTAGTATACTTTTTGATCTATTATCTTAATAAAATATTAACTTGATTTTTACTTTATAGGTTGTGTTTACTGGTGAAAATATTCCTGTTCATCCTCACGTTTATAGCAATGGACATATCTGTTTATCTATTCTAACAGAAGACTGGTCTCCAGCTCTTTCAGTGCAATCAGTTTGTCTTAGCATTATCAGCATGCTTTCAAGCTGCAAAGAAAAGGTATGAAGTTAAGAGATAATGTTCCAAGAATGTTATAAGTTTAATGGTAGTAGAATGCCCCACTCTAAACCAATTATGTTTCTTTTTCTCTTTAATGATATTTAGTGGACCCTAAAATAGGTACATTGTTAAACAATGCACTTCAAAAAAACTCAGAAGGGTTAATTTATGTAATTACAATGCAAATTAGTTAGATAACAACCAATGATTTTTCTTTCCAGCCTCTGGAGACCAACAAAACAGAATAATTGTCTTCAAATGAAAGCTTATTACCTAGTTTCACTTAAATTAATGTGAAGTTCCTGCTTCATATTGCCACATTTCTTAATTCACATAGAGTTGTTATTTCAAGTAATCCTGAAAAGTTCATTGGTCATCTTATGAAAGTCACATGCTGGTAATAGGTATTTAGTGAGATATTTGTACACTTAGTAAGCTTGATATTAATAACATTTTGAATGCTGTCTTCAAAGCAAATTACAGATATTTAAAAACCCTGGTTTTTAATGGTTTTCTTTCTAAAATAAAATTCATCATTTAGCAGAGCACACTTGGGCAACAATGAAATTAAGATGGCTCTTTGTATAGTTGCAGATAATTTCCTTGGTATATGTTGCAGTGTTATAATATCTAAAACATGCCTTCCTTAGATTGAGACTATTCTTGTATGGCTTAAAAAGAACTAATATTAAACACATTCAGGCAATATAGCAATCTTTCTGATATGCTACTCATACTAGGTATCTTTTACTAACATACATTATAAATACTAGATGGCTCATGTGCAGAATATAATTGGAAGCACATTTTCTTCCCATATATTCAAAGTGTGTGGTACAGAAAGAGTAGGAGGAAGACTTCTGATTATTATTTCCTCTAGAATATGCTATTTAAAGTTGGGTAGAGAAATATTTTCTTCTATCATTTAGTCTGCTTATGTATTATTCACTTATTTATTTCTTTATCCAGATTATTTTTTGACACAACTTGAGTGTTTTTCCAAACCTGTGCTGAAAACATACTAGTTTTCTCTAGTTTATTCAAACATGACTAAGAAGGTATTTGTTTAAATATGTATGCCTGTACATCAAGAATTATAAAGTCACCTGAAATATTAATAATTTATTCCCTTAAGTTGTGTAAGAGTTGAGGAGCAGTCAAAAATATTGCAAACCAGGAATAAAATCTTGGAAAAGGAACTTACAATTTTTTTCTTTTATTTCAATGAATGCTTTTCTAAAATTTCCTGTCTGCCTTCCCTTCATTTGTTAGATTTATATCCTACTTTCAATTGAGCCACTGATTTACAGTTTTGTACAATTGAAGTCAGCTTATAATTTAATATAGTTTTACTTTATTGCAGAGAAGACCACCAGATAATTCATTTTATGTAAGAACATGTAACAAGAATCCAAAGAAAACAAAATGGTGGTATCATGGTAAGCATTTAGTTTGAAAACAATATTCTAAGTAATGAATAATTAGTACTTAATTTACAAAACTTCCTGTATGATCCTTGAATAAGTTTCTTAATATTCACAAATAACACAATAAATGAGTTTACTGTTAAATTACTTAGTCTTATCTTAATGAATTCAGATAAGAAAGATCTACATCTTATAGGCATATGAAAATTTCAGATACAGAACTTTTCCAAGAAATCTGCTAGGGAATGAAGTTTTGGCATTCTGAACTGCAAAAGCACTGAAAACAGGCTTTCATATATGTAATGCATATGTTGAGCTTTAAGGATTTTTCTCATATTGAGAATAGACATGAATAAATGAACCAGTTAGTACTTTTAGTATAAAGCAGTGCATCATATCAATAGAATGAAATAATGAATAACCTTACAGCTTGGTATAGAAATCTATTGAATGAATAGATCATTAACAAAATGGAATTGAACTGAAGAAATAGGTTGCCAAAGCTAGCATAAAATAAAGTGCAATGAATAGTTTAAAATATAACCATTTGTTTACTCTGCACGGAAATATCAAGACAAAATAGTATTGAGAGTTTTCTACCACCTCTCATCCTTCAACCATTTTATGATGTGAAGGTGCTTGCACAGCAACAGATTTTTTTTTTTCTAAATCTTCTACGGTTTCTGAGCCTTTGGGCTTTTTGTATATTTGCATTTTTATTTGAAAAATGCACTAGTTTACTAAATAGGTAGTTGAGCCTTAGTACATTGTCAGATTTGTTTAAACAAAAGAAAGCAAGTCAGTGGTTCAGAATTATATTTCTCTTCCAAATTTATAATTTTAATCCTTATTTTAATTTGTTGAAGTGGTACTGTTAAGGGATATTCCAACAATAAATATCTTCATAGGATTTGAACAATGTATATGTACAGAATATAATACTTTACATTTTATTTTTCTTTAAAGATGACACTTGTTGACACCATCATTCTATGAATCGCCTAACAGAAGATAGTCCTACTGAGAAAATGAGCACTTTGATCATTCAGTCTTTGAACTTTAACCTCCTGACTGGAAATGATAAATAGGCAATGAAGACTACTTCCTTTGACTGAATTTTTACTAGTATGCATTCTGGGCACATGTTGATCGCTGGTTCACACCATGCTATTGACATGCCTTTCGTAGTCATACAATGTTAATGCTGGAAAATGTCATTCAATTTTAACATTTGGAAGAATTCCAGGTCTTCATATATTGTGCAATAATATGAATTTCTTGGTGGTTTTGGCATATCCATTGCCATAAAAGATTGTATCAGGAAACATATATGCTTTCCACACAATAGTTTAGATGCATGATAGGGCCTATGAAAGGTTTTAAGTATATTAGGATGATAAGTAACCTATCTTTTACTTTGAAAGCCACCTAATTTGTTTAGATATGGATTCTGTGCACTGTGATCATAAAACTAGCAGCATAAGTTAAAACATGCTTAACTAAGAAATTAATAAGAACATTGCATATCTACTGAACTGTCAGTGTCTTGACAAGCAAGTTTTTTCAAGTTATGTCAGCAGAGAGGTACGTTCTATGGTAGAATAAATATCTTTTATTTATGTATGTTATAGAGAAGATATGAATAAATAAGGCAGAAGTGGTTTAATCAAGGAAACCCATGTTATGAAATAGAAACAAGTAGCAGGATAAAACTGAATTTGCTGCAGTCCATGATTGGGCTTGTTAATATGTATACTAGAGCTATTTTCCAAGTAGATTGCACACGGTTATTTCATACTAGCCTTCAGCATGAGCCCTGTTGCCTACACAATACTTCATTTATTTATATGTCTAGAAATTTTTGAGTTCACCGTTTCTTTTGTGGTCTTATATGTCATATTTGAATGTTACAAAACAATATTTTCACTGAAAAGCTATCAAAAGATATTTTCTTGTAAATTATTTCTTTATTAACATTTATCTTGTCTTTTCTGTACCATAAAGGAAGAAATACATTTTGGACAGAGATGAACTGTTTTGACAAAAAGTGTGGATCTTTTTATTTAAACTTAAGACAAATATATATAAATATATATATTTTTCTTACCTTACTTGTCCCATACAGCCATAACAATTTTCCAGGTTTTCTTTAAAGATACGACAAAAAGTAGATTTACCTTTTATACAGAAAAACAATTGTTAAACAATAGTGAATTGATCTTCACCTATATGTAATTTTATGATACTGGATCTAGGCTGTCTTTTTAGGAAGCAATGATGTGTCTTTTATAAACTTGCTACCTTTACACATATGCAAACTTTCTATTTCAGTGCTCTTTTTAATGTTGCCTTATTGTTGCACTAAAAAAAAATCAAATCTAGTAGTCAATAAATGAATGTCTGAACTGCAGAGTAAACTTCTTACTTGATTTTTAAAGTAAGAATCATATAAGCAAAACAAATCTCCCAGGATTGGCTGAAAATACTCAAGTGTGTGTGGATTTTTTTTTTAACTGCTGCATTGAATCTTACAAGTTTTATAGATATGTATATACTACAGTAGCTATAATATTTAAAATCAATATATTTGCTAAGCTCAGGGGTGGGAAGAAATCAAATGAAAGAAAAAGAGGTGTTCTGTCCAGGCACTGAATTCCAAATTATTGGTAGATCAGTTTTAAATAAGGGTATTTTACCTTTTCTGTTTTGAAGAAGATTACTGGCCTCTTACTCAGAACTAAGATACTGTGGGAAAACTTGTGTGTGTGTATTTCTCCATTGCATTATTAATGTTACTAGTAATTTTTGTTCAAGCCAAAAATAATGTCGATGTTGAAGTTTGTATCCTCCTTGATTTTCTTCTAGCTCTTTTTCCATTTGTAAATTAAATTGTGAACACGTTAAAAAGTGTATACATGAAGGGTACCACTAATTATTTAAATGGAATCTTCATAGTTCCACAACCCACAGAAACTATGTATTCATACATTTAGATAATGTCAATCTGTTCTGTAATTCACTATGAAGGACCTTCATGTCTGGAAGTTCAATTCCATCTTAAAGATTAATGCAACTGTTTCCATATAATATCTAATTTTTAAAGGTCAGTTACATAATCCATGCTTTAGTCCTGCATGTATTTTATTTGCCTATAGATTTCTCAGTTTGGATTAAATCAAAATTGCTCAACAAAATACTACTATTTATACTATTTCTTGAGTGTGGAGACTGTTTAAATATGTAATAAGGATTTTAAACCAGAATTGTATTTTCATAAGTTGTATTTTCATAAATTGTATGATCCCACATTAGGAGGCAGAGGAAGAAATCAAGTTTTGCTTTTTTCGCTTTACCCTTAAAATTCTGTGTCATCTGAAAATCTGTTTTGGAAAAATTAGGAGCTCACTGCAAATGTATATGAATGACATAGTGAAAATGAAGGATTGATGCAAATGATCATTCCTTTTTTCCCCATAAAAATGGTGTCACTGAAAAATATGTTCCCTACAACTGGTACATGCCAAGTTTATTCTGTGCTCTCAACAAGAAGTTCAGGATCTACTTTCTACTTAATCACAGTTCAGTCTGCAATATATACAATATATATGTTTTTTTCCCTGAAGGCTGCCCATTTTTATCAATTGCACTTGGTAGCAAACATCACAGTTTATTATTCATTTTATATATGCAGTATTTTGCTTAAAACATGCAAGGCAACTTATATAGAGATCTTAATTTTATCCTAGTTATCAACCTGTGAGGTGGATTGAGTTAAAGGAGAATGATTGATCTAAATTCAGTCATTGAATTCCTTGGTTTCGGTTAATGTTAACCACTCTCTTCAATATCATTTTAAAGTTTTATAGTCACTTGTATGTTTTCTTCATTATTTATTTTTGGTATTATAGTAGCCTAGGCTATCTTTTCTAATGTTATGAACAAATAACCACCTGTCTTGGTATCAGTTCTTAGTTAAATTATCTTTTCTGCCCTTCATGGTAAAAAAAAAAGTCAGTTTATATATTTCTGTTGTATAATATGATGTTGGTGTATGAAAAGGACATTCTCTTACCTCCATGAGAAGTTTTCTCAGAAGGTCCAGACAAATATATTAAAAGCTATGAAACAATCAAATTGCTCAGCAATGCTGTTTGGATATTAATATCCTATTTTTTTCAGTGAAGATGGATGCTGTGAATTAATTCAGTTTGCCTGCAGTCCACTTTCTTCTAATCTGTTTAGGAAATTTGCCTCAAGGTCTGTAGCAATAGACAACTATGATTGCATTTAATTTGCCAGACTCCTCTGTTGATAGCAGTCTGAAGATTTCTACTTAGACCTTGACTGAACTCAGTACGTTTTTTAATGTTGCAGTAGCACATCTTTTCTCTAATTATACCTCATGCTTATTATTAGATAAGCAAATACATGAATCTATTTTCACTTATTGCTGTTGATTTGAATTGGGTTGCTGATTGTTAGGTGGGAATACTTACCAAAACTCATCAACTGAAGCATATGAATTGTTTTAAAGTAGTTCCAAATCTTCATTTTCTGGCCAAAAACAAAACAACTTAAATTGATTATTGTAAAAATTATTTTAATTATTTCATGAATTACTAAAAACTGGAACAAGGAAGACAAATTGGTTTTTACATTTTATTAATATAGTCTACAATATTTGCAGTGAAGAATGAACAATGGGCAGGATAAAATAATATAGTTATTGCTGGTAATTTATTAAAATGTGATAAAATTGCTTATATATTAAGCCATTCCTATTTCTCAGCATTTTCAAACCACCAGTTTTGTCTAGATGCAAATGACATAGATCTAATTTTTAGTATTCAGTATTGTATATATTATGCTGTTTATAGTTTATGCCAATAAAAGAGGATGGATGCACAGCATAAAATTCAGTAGACATTTTTGCATTCAGTTACTGAACTGGAAAGTTGTTGTGGTTAGCTGGTAGCAGGTGCAGATGGCTGAGGAGAGCGATGACTCTGATGAGGGGCCAGGACCATCAGGGAGTGGACTGCTGCCTTAAGAGATTGTGGGGGCTGGCAGCAGTGACAAGGAGGTTCCCGAGGAGCCTGTGCCAAGTGCACGTGCATGAAGGATTACTCAGAGGAAAGAACAATTATAGCAGCACAGGCGACCTCAGCAAGGCTGCAAGGTAATGGCCTCTCCCTCAAGAGGATAAAAGCCAGGTTTGAAAAAGCGTTCTTTGCAGAAAGCAAAGAAGCTCTTAGCTCAACTGGTGGACATCTTAGTTTGTGAATCTTGTAAATTAGTTCTTATCTTTGGGTTTTTGGCAGCCTTGACAAACAACTTGGCAAGGCTCTTGTCAGAGATAATTGTTTCTTTTTTTTGTTGTTGGAAAGCAGCCTTTTATCTGTAAAGGAACAGCATTCGTGATTTAACCTTGAAAGGTGGGGGCTGCTGCCTTTGTGTTTGCTCTCTGGGGACCTGGTTGGGTCAGAACAAAAGTAGAAAAACAAGACTGATCTGGGAGGTAATGGTACAGTACATATTTTCTCTCTCTTTTTTTAAGAATAACTAAGAAGGCAAATGGACTTAATATTTTTATTTTCTTAAATTACTTTTAAGGCTTAAACCATAAATTGCTTAAAGCTTTTAAGGAATTTGATGACACACATAATCTGCCTAAATGTCTAAAAGCTGCATCTATCTGTACTTTATACGATTTCCCTTTATATCCACTTTTTTAAAACTTGTTTATTGTGGATACTATAATTTTTCATTCATTAGTATCAGGAAAGGCAGCCAATGGAAGCAAAATAAAACAAAATATAAACATTAAACATTCTAAAACAACTGAAAAGTTGTGATTGAAAAGATGTGGCCAATTGCTTTTTCTAAAGTTTACTGAGGTAGATATAGACTAAACGTTCTCTCCCCTTGGAAAGTTTTCTCCCCTATTAAATATAAAATCCTTTTGAAATATGCTAAAGGCTCTTTATGGATACATAGCTTAATTTATATAAATGACATGACTCACATTTTTGGAGAAAAAAAGCCTTTTTTAATATATGGCAAATTATCAAATGTAATCAATTATATTTTAAATTTACAGTACATTGGTAGAAATCACTTGACTCACAGCTTGTGCTTAACAGCAAATAGTCTAGGAGGGATTTTCCAAATTTGTCTTGTGTGCCAGTTGTGCCATTCTTAGATGAGAATATTCTTATGGAATAGACATGCTTTAATCAGTTGATGATTGGATTACTGCAACACACTGAGGCTGCTCTGCAAGCCCTTTAGAATGGTCCAAAACACAGTGGGGCGAAACTGGTATGGGTGCACCATTGAATATCCATGTCATGCTGCTACTTTGTGAACTGCATTGGTTACCAGTGAGCTTCCAAGTAAATTCAAGGTCCTATTGGTCATCTATAAAGCCTTTCAAGGTACAGGGTCTAGATATTTGTAGGACCATCTCTGCCTATTGTTTCTGTCTGCTTTAAAAGAAATATATCAGGATCAGCATGCTTGGGATTACATCAATAAAGAGTGCCATCTTAGGGGACACACCAAGTATGCTTTCATTGTTCCTGCTGCCTTTTGGAATGGTATTAACCCCCCCCCCCCCCGCACCCCCAATCCTAATGACTCTATAATCTTGCTGGCTTTTAGGAAGACATTTAAGACCTGGCTGCTCCCACAGGGTTGGAAAGGATAATGTGTAATCTTGCTCATTTCCAGGTGAATGTAGTAGTTTGGTTTTTCCTAAGTTTGGCCATATTTTGATGTTTGAAGTTTGTTTTTCACTGCTTTGAAACACTGCAAACTGCCCAGAATCAATGAGTATTAGATATTGACTAAGTAAATCTTCCTGCAGAATATTCAGACTGCTCGTTACACCATTGCAAAACAGTAAGCCTCTGATCTATGTATAAAAGCAACTGAAAGCTCCACAGATTCACAGTTGATGATGGAGGCAGACAAGTGTTCTATGACAACGATTAAGTCATAAAGAAGTCATTTGTGAAGTGAAAAATATGATGGTAAGAGGATGCCAACATCTCTGCCCACTGTGGTCCATGTGATAGCAGAAAAGTGTCAGGTAGGAAAAGGCTGATAAATTGCTTACTAGTTTCTTGGCCTGAAAACATGCACCTTATAGTTATAAAACTCTGAATGGGAAGTTCAGCTGTGGAAAAATTGCAGCAGTCAATAACGTTATAAATAGAGGAAAACTAGATGTATAAAGATTCAATATGTATAAATGTATATAAGATATATATATATATCATAAGATGTAAGGCAAAAAGATGTCAAAAATGATTTTACCATGTTCAATGTTTTTAAACAATGTATTTAATAAAATTAATTTTTTAAAAAATAACAGAGGGTGGTAGCAAAGGAAAAGAAAGTGCCCATGTTCCCTTCTTTCTAGCTTAAACTCTTGCAACAGCAGTCTAACAGTTACTAAGGGCTGTGTTTACATGATAAGTCCAAATTTCTATATAGTCCTATAATCAGATCTTACCTAGTGGCGGGGAATGGAGGATACTTACAAGGGGCAAGATTGGATGGATGGTGGGTGCAAAGAAGTGGAGGAAAGCTAGTTACTTAATCAAATGGCATGTATGTTATTATAGTAACTCAGGAGTGATAAGCAAGAGCTACCTGACCAAAATGAAAAGTCAGACTTAGGATAGGAAAGGCCAAATATAAGCAGTGTCAAATAAAAGGAGGAAATTAAAATCCATTTCTACTTTCTATTCTGAGAAATAGCTGTACCTGTTTCATAAAGTATTGCAGTGTGAAGTAATTAGCTAGAGAGATAATCCATGATGCCCCAAAATGCAAGAAAAGATCAGATAGTTACCTGGCATTGGGGGCAGGGTGGGTGGCTGGGGGAAGGATGATAGAAAATCCAGTACTGAAGTGCACTTGTTTATGGTTTTGCACCAATAATAGCAGAAAAAAAATGACACGTACTCCTTCAGGTTTATATCACCCATTATAATAATTGACAGATAAGGTGCGTCATGTACAGGTTTGCCGATGTCCGCTACCACAGCAGTTAAAAGTAGAGCACAAGCAGAATAAAATAAAAAAAAAGATAAGACAATACTACATGCCAGCAAGGTGTAATGCCAGTTAAAAGAAGCATCTTTTCTCCATCCTGGGATTGAATCCAGAGGACGGCGGTGCCTTCAGCTGCCACAGGGGGGCGCGAAACACCGCTTGCGGTTTGGGACTGGGAGGCGCTGGGAAAGTTGATGAGGAGGCGGCCCTTTGCTCGGTCAGAAGTTGTAGGGGGCTGGGGGGAGTAGCGGCGGTAGGAGCCCCGCGTAGAGACGCTTCAACCCAGGCCGGATGGGCTAGGCCCGGGCCCGAAGTCGGATACGGGCCGCGATGGTGGCGGCGCTTTGTCGCGACGTGTGGCAAGAGTGGGAGGGAGGCGAAGCGGTTGGTTGGAGCCAATCTCCACGGCGGGGTCACTTCTTGCTAGTCTTTGCCGATTTTGACGACGTCTCCAAAGTGTCCCGGGCACCAGGTAACCTTGTGCCGTACGGCCCGCCCGGGGACCGAGGTAACGCGAGGACGGTTGCTGGAAATGCTCTCGCGGGCAGAAAAAGAGCCTCCTCCTCCTCCCGTAGCTGTTGCGGCGAAGGCGGCCGGTGGAGAGGGATTGAGATGCGCAGGTCGAGCCCCGCCTCTTTGGCTTCGCAGGGAATAACAGTTGGAAGGGACCTCGGAGGTCTTCTAGTCCAACCCTATGCCATTCCAGACAAGTGGCTGTCCGGTCTTTTTAAAAAAGGCTTCCAGATGGGACGGCAGGGAGGCTCTCATCGTCCCTCCTGGAGCCGCTTATCCGGCAGGGCAGGGAGCGCAAGGTGAGACCTCCACTTTGGGAGCCTCGCGGTGGTTTTGAAAAGATAGGTTCAAATCAGGGAATGTCCAGGAAAAATGTCAAGGACTAGTTTGGTAATAGTAATGAAAGTTATATTGATTACCCAACATTCATCTGAGGTAATCAAAACCTTCACTTTCTGGAGGTTCTAAAGATGCAGTACAACTACATATAGACATGGTCCCATTTAACTTAAGAGGTGTCCCATTTGATTTAGTAAATTAGAGCACATTTAACTTATTTTGAAATGTATAACATCACAGATAAGGAATGTTTTTGAACAAAAATATACCTACATAATCATTATTCCCTCAAAACTTGACAAACTCTGACACTGACATTGTACAGAAAATAAGAGTTAAAACAGCATATTATTAGTGTACCGGTTTCATACCCACTAAAGTCAAACATATAGATATGTTAAGTAATATAGTTCCCAACTCCAAAAGATTTGTGTAAGATAGGTTCTTAGCATGTTGACTGCAGAGATGAAACCTTCAGGAACTGAAATTTGTCAGCAATTGTTGCCACCTTAGGAGAATGAAAGTGAAGAATCTCTGACATCATGATGACAACACAGTAGCTCATTATGATCCTGAAATGAAGTACGGATTTCTTTGAACCTGGTATGTTTATCAACTCAGAATATTGAATATTATAACTTTTGAAACAGAAGGAACTTTTGTTATAATATAACAATGCTGGATCTTACACCTCACAAGCCATCCGATAGGCTATTATGAAGTTGGATCTTGCCATTATACCCATCCCAATTTAGTGCAGAACTGGAAATATGCAACTTCCACCTTTCCCCAAAATTGAAAGAATACCTTCAAGGGCATCTGTTTGACTCAAATGAAGAAGTAGCAATAATTTCAGTATCTTAATTGAAGACACAAAGCTCGTAGCTCTTTCATGATGGTTTTAAGAAGCTTGTCTGGCATTGGCAGAAAGATATAATGAATGGTGGTGCATATGTGTGGAGAAGTAAATACAAATAACAAAAGATCTTGATCCAAGCTACTTTTCTGTTTCGTTTAACTAAATACTCCCTTTTAAATTAAAGATATAGAAGTGGAATCATTGCTTTTCATTCAAACTTGTTGCTTAAATTTTTAATAGTTTGTGTGTATGTCATCAGGCAATTTAGTTAGTTTGCTTTATTGATTAGTCCATGGGCTATATCAAAGTGCAGAGTTTCAAATACAAATTATTACTAAAATCTGATAAGAAGAATTTAAAATTGAATTGGAATAAATATACAATTTAAAATGAGATTGTAATAAAATACAATAATATATGGATAAATAAAATACGATAAAATTATATTTCAGTGCCACCCTTAAAATCTACCCCAATCAGTCCCACATATGCCGATCTCAACCAAACCATTTTGCTCCATCAGGCAATAGTTTTGATTCATTTTGCCTCACATTATATTTAGACTGAGGTGTCATAAGTGTCTGTGTATTTTCTGGATTTTATTGTATCTAAATATATGTTGTGATATATATGTCACAAATCACTACTATTTATTTTACAGAAGTAAAGTTTGTGGTCCTCAATTTAACACACAGTTAAAAAGGAGGAGGAATAAAAAGCAAAATTATATGTAATGAGCATTTTGTTTCCTCCCCCCCTTTTAATTGTGTGCTTGAGGACCACCAGCTTTACTTCTGTAAAATAAGTAGTTGTGATTTGTGAGAACAAACGTGAGATTAGACATTGTGGTTCTGAGATGTCAGATTTTTCTAATATTCAGCTTGTAGAGCATCTGAAATGTATATTAAAATAGAAAATTGTGTATTCAAAAGAGTTGCTGTATGTTTGGATCTTATCTCTATCTTCAGGAACTTTGGTGTTTTTTTTAATCTGAGAAGGTTACCTTTTTTATTTTATGATTGACATCCTCATTGTGAAGGTGATTTTGTGAAACACAATGAAACAGATGCACAAACATTTTCTGTAAGAATGTTCATGTCTCCATCAGCCATCACCCCCAAATAGTCCCTACTTATTCCTTCTCAAAGTGGCCATTCAGAACAAATTAATTGATGATTAATATTTTATACACTATGCCATGTGAACAAGCCTCTGAAGTTTTAATTTTATTGTTTTAGCATCTTTTGTCATACAGTGTTTATACATATAATAAATAGCCTGCATCTTAATATAAACACTCATATTATCTTAGGCACTGTTCATTATGTTCAGTTTGACAATATAAACTTTCATTTTTAGCATACTTAACATTGCCTGGAGTAGCCTCATGAGTGAATGAGATTATCTCCAGGTTTAACACTTTACGATTTTGTAAATTTAGATCTGAAGGTTTTAAATCAGTACTTTTTGGATATGATATTTTATGATTCAAAGACAGGAAATGGAAACAGTATTGACCATGTGTTTCTGTTGTGCCTGTTAAATATAGATATACATTTCTGTTTTTATAGGCAGTATTATTCCAACAGTGAAATTGAATGGTCTTGCAATGAAAAGAGAGAGCCTGCCATCTCTATGCCATTAGATCAAAAGCCAGCCCCAGCTACAGAGCAAATTATAATTTTTGTGGTATATACAATTGGAGGTTTGTGCATTTTAATTATATTTTTAATTATTGTAGCTCCAATAGCATTTTAAAATGCCAGCAGATTTAACTGTTTAATTTTTGTTTGCTGAATTTCATTATTTGATACCTACTTCAGGTGTGCTTTAGTTTCTGAATTTCTGAATTTTTCTTTACAGTGAGAGAATACATGTGGAAAATTAGCAGGAAATGAAACAATTTTTCCATCTCAATAGATATATTGTCACATTCTTTGGATTGCAAATGTTGTTTCTTGAAAGCACTTGGTTTATTTATTTATTTTTTAAAAAACTCTTCACATTTTACAAATCCTTCCATTCAAGACATTAGTGGAAATAGATGAGCTATGTAGTCACTCTATATATGAATAGATAACCTTCCTGACTAATCTCTACACTAAAAAAAATTACCAAAGTGAATTGTAGAGGCAAATGTGACAATAGAGAATGTTTAGAACATATTTCAGTTTCCTTTTCTGCTATCAGATGACATGTGATTTCTCAGCACTTTGAGCCAGTTAGGAGTTTCTGTATCGTCGGTATGGTTTGTAATTTAGTAATCTAAAACAGAGCTGGCTGTACAGTTCTTATAAAAACAAAGACAAAACAAAACTAAGGCTTCAATTGATTTCTGAGTGGTAGGCTAGTTGCATTTCAAAAAGAAGTTGGGGACGAAGAAATTGAAAGGCCAGGAGTTTAATATAAATATAGTATTCATAATTTTCCTCAATTTTTATAACAAATAAATAAGAAAAACAGTTTGAATTGTACTGAAGGTTTAAGAACCCGAGGCCTTTAATCCTTTGCATGCTTTTTTTCTGTAAATTATTAATTTGTAGACAAAAATTGAGGCTGCATATTATGACAGTAACACAGAATACCTGTGCTACATTATCATGATCACATAGGACTCAGTTTAAGAACTTAATTTACTAAATTATCTATGTATAGAACCAGCATATTTTTAAATAAATTTGGGAGTGGGACACAGGTGGGAATGGTCTGGCCTTCATGTGATCAGTATATTAAAAACTCTTGTGCTCTTACCTGGAGTCATAACTTCAAGATTATCTACCCATATATGTTTTACAAAAATTGCACATTTCAAGTTCAAGATCAGTGAATATCTGCTTACGCCCAAAGAACTAGAGACTCAGTATAGCTTGAGGAGATGATATGGGAAGCTCATGAAAGTGCTGTTACAAAGCTTGTGCTCATGGTTTCTATTTGCCTAGAATAATATGAAAGTCAATCTGTGGGAAAAAAAACCCTTGAAAACAATGGTCATTTATCCATGCAGAAAGTGAGTTTACAAGATTAATTGCCACTCTTGATTAGATTTAGAAAATAGTATAACTTAAAATAATTCTTATTGGCCACCAGAGGGCAGTATGAATTTATTATTTGTTTTTAGCTTCTACTACAGAAGCTAAGGCATTTTTCAGCAGACTATTCTTTACACTCTTTTTAAACTACATTATTTTGTTCCATGTTATGTTTTTAAAAAGGGATAAAAATTTAACTCATTGACTATTTTAACATTTTGTAACAGCCTTTTGTTTTTTGTTTTTTTCCCCCAAAAATTTTATTAATTTTTAAAAAACAAGCATACAGACCAAACACAAAACATAAAAACATAAAACATCTTTTTTGAAAGCAGCTTGATCCCGGGTTACATCTCTTTGTACAGACATAAATTCAAATTCATGCTCACTTTTATATACCATTCCATATCTTATTACCATTCTAGATTTTCTATATAGCTTCTTCCCTCTTTTCACTCTCTTAATTCTATTTTATTTATTTCATCTCAATTTAAATCATTATTCTTATATCCTTTGTCTGTCCTGTTTCAACTGTCTATTATCTTTTCTCATTAACACAAAAATTCTCCTGTAATCACTGATTGGAGTATGACACCTTTGTATCTTTCCCCTAAATTTAACACTTAATATAATACATAACTTTCATTCGGATTCTGCTTAATACATTCTAAAGCTACACACTATATTTTTTTAAAAAGAAAAAATTATAAATATATAATATAATTAAAACAACAATCCATACCAGTTAAACTCTATCGTTAAAATTAATATTCATTTAAATCTTAAACATTTTACACATTCCTTTTCAAATAAGTATGCTTCTATGGGAACTCTTATAAATTTTGCGTAGTTACTTCCCCCCCATTTCACTTATATTTTAAAACATTATATAATTAAAATGTTCCCATTCCTTTTTAATTCAGTTCTCTCATATTTCATTTCATTTATTTTGTTCAAAAAAGAAAAAGTTTCACTAAATTACATTGAATATTTTATCCCATTTTATAATTATACGTTGTTCCAATTTTCTAACATTATTTCTAATACAAATACAACAATACAGTCTATATGTACCTTTGCAGAATCTCTTTTTCAGTTAAATTTTTACCCATTATCTCTAAATAAATCCTGTTTCTTTACATCTTGTTTCAAACCCTTGTAGCTTCTCTTCCCTTCCTTCCTCCCTTGCTTCTTCACACCCTTTTTACCCCCTTGTCTCTCCATCTCCATTTCCCTCTTCTGTATTCTGTTGCTTTCTGACATTATATCCACTTTTCACCTTATTTTTCCCTTTTTTGGTTGTTTTTTAGGTCTTAAATTCTCCATTCTCTTTCCCCTCTTTCCCCTTTCTTCCCCAAATAAAGTTACTTGTTCATTAAAGATGGCTTCTTCTTTGTCCCAATCTTCTTGTTCTTGTAGTTTCTCATAGGTAGAAATTGCCATTTCTAAAAAGTTGAAAACAGAGCCAAAAGAGCCCTTCCCTTCTTGTTCCTCTTTTTAAATTCAATTTTCAGTTCATCCACAAGTGATGCCATTATAAAAAAGATTTTTAAACAACCACCCAAGTATTTTTAATCATTAAAATATAATTTCCAAAAGTCCCAAAGTCACCAAGCAGTCCAAATACACACAAGCTGTTTCATTTAACACTTTTCTCTTTTTTCACTTTCTCTTCCTGGGGTTACAATTCAGTTACAAAGTTCCAATTAAAATGTATCTTTTAGAAGTCTTGTTACAATTTAACTTTCAATTCTTTTAAATTCCAAACAATTTCCTCCAGCCAAATCTTACTCTTTATTCTTTTCCTCTCCCTTCCCACTTGCAGCGAAAAAAAAGTTTTTTCAATGTTCAGAAATCTTTGGCTTTGATTTTCAGTTTAATTACCTGCTGATGCCAAAGCAGGTTTTTCTGATTTCTCATTCATCTGCTGTCACCGTAAGGAAGGAGAGTGAGAAAAAACAAACTTTCCCTTTTCACTTTCATTCACTGCTTCCGGATCTTCCTTGGGAACGATGAATCTTTTTTGAGGTTTAAATTCCAGGATATCTTGAATGTTGCTTCTTATCCCGGTCAGCCAAAACTTTCACTTCTTAGCTTCCTCCTGCACATTCTTTTCCGGATGAGTGCTTCTTTGAGGCGGCCATTTCTGACCGCTGCTCTACCGCCTTCGGAAAAGGGAGTTAAGCCAGCTGAGGAGGGGAGGTGCGGACTCCCCTCAAAACCCTGCCGGGTCTCCCTTGTCTTCAGCCACCTCTACGGGGTGACTTTAGCCCCGAAGCCGGCTGGCTCGGGGCACTCCAGCGGCCAGCACAAGCAGAAACCGCGCACAATCGCGGATTCCTGCTGCCGCCGAAGCCCAGCAAACCGGAAGTCCAGCCTTTTATTTTTAAAGGCATGTTGAGTTTATGCTAGATGTCAGAAAAGTTAAAGAACACATCATATGGCCTATTTACCACAGAGGTATTTTTAACCTATGACATTTCCTGCAAAATGCTGTTTAGTTCCATACCTATACAATTCTTTCTTTTCTTTCTCTCCTCCTTCCATGCTCTCTCATTTCTCAACATATTTCACTGAAACTCTGTGGCTGAACAATACACAGTGGTCATTTTCTCCAAATCCTTGCAATAATTTTAACTCTAGTCTGTAAAATAGTAGATTCTGTTGAGCTTCACTCAGAGGGTAGGAAGGCTAAATTAGAAAGCATCCAAATCTAGGAACTGTGGAAATACTTCCATTAGCATAAAGGAGAAAGAGGGTTGTGGTTTTGATAGCTGGAATCATAACCCAAACTGGATTTTAGGTGAAACATAAAATAACTTTGGATTCAGAGAAGATTTCCCCAGCCTGATATCCTCTATAGTTAAATGAAAGCATTCTCTGGATTTTCCCTGCCAATGTATCATTGGCTAGACTAGTTTGTGAATTTTTGGATTTTAAGTTCAGCACATTTGGAAGGTATCAGGTTCAGGAAAATTGAGATCAGTGCCTTTTAATGAGATAATGTTTGGTCAGTGAAGCCCCTGGCAACAATTCTCATGTTCTTATGTAATACAGTTGGACTCTTGCATGATACAATCTATAGGACTGAGGATAACTCAGAGCGAAATGCAGCAGCCCAGCTGTTATCCAGTAGGATCCATTGCTATAGAATAACAGCTTTTTTAAGAGAGAGTGATGGCAAGTTTTTTATGGTTGATATACTGGCTTTCAATAGACTTCCAGGCTCAATTCAGTAGTACTTGTTATCACCTATAAACAGAGGTGGTATTCAGCAGGTTCTGACCAGTTCTGGAGAACCGGTAGCGGAAATGTTGAGTAGTTCGGAGAACTAGCAAATACCACCTCTGACTGGAGATTTTACAGTATCCTTCCCCTGCCATGCCCACCAAGCCACACCCACAGAACCGGTAGTAAATTTGTTTTGAATCCCACCACTGCCTATAAAGCCCTGTACAGATAGCCCTCACTTAAGGACTGCCCTGTTTAGTGATCATTTGAAGTTACGGAGGGACTGAGAAAGTTACAACTGGTCTACCCACTTATGACATATATAGCATTCTGCAGTCATGTGATCACCATGTGTACACTTCATAGCTAGCTTCTGACAAGCAGAGTCAATGTAGAAGCCAGCAATAAAATGACAAATTGTGGTCACACAATTTCTCACTTAAT